ATATTGATATTCATACTGGCATTAAATGCCACAGCTTAATGGTTAAATTAATTTATCACAGAGAGAAATTCAACATGCACTGTTAGGCTTTTATTTGTGCACGTAACATGAAACTATCTAGGGAATGTTGGTGGCTGCTTCATCCGACGAAGCTTCTTTCACAGGGTTTTGGCTGTTTTTTTTTTTTTTTTTTTTTTTTTTTTTTTGCTAAACACCAGATGGCGCTGTTTTTAACACTCGAAGTTTTGAATCTATTCCCGAATCAATCAGGGGAAAGCCGAGCGGCAACCTTCCTGTCTCTCTCGTGAAGCCAACACGGAAGTGACTTAAACTGCAGTTCTTCGACTGGCCGCTAGAGACAGGCTCCAAAAGGGAGTCAATTCCATATATCCCCCATGTTAAAGCTGCAGTCCGGCATTTTTCCTCTTTGTCGCCATCTCTGTTCGAAATCTGCAATTGCAGTCATTCGCGGAATTATCAACTTTACGTGAGTTGTAGTTCAACACCCTAGACACGGCACAGCGGGGATGAACACAGTGTTTGAGGAGAGTGTGCAGCTGTCAGTCACCGCGCCGATGTGGATATTGTCATTCAGAATCACAGATTATTCTTTTTGGAAGTATGACCAACATAAGAATTTTCACCGGGAAATGTCATCTGAACTAGTAAGAAACATTCACTTTTGTTCTGGTTCTGACATTGCAGTAAATCGCGCTGATTAAATCTAACAATTGCTTATAAGTTATCATTTCACGCAAAACCGTGCAAAGTAGCTATACTATGTTTTCAAATTGTTAATGTTAACAACGTCAGCAAGCATTGCGTGACTACATCATGTAATGTCCTTCCGATATTATCCTTGTTTTCGCATGGGTCCGGTTGCAGTCTCTTTTTTTCTGTGGCCACTCCGAAGTCCGAACGAAGTCTTTTGCATGTTACAGCGGGTGAGTCTTTAGTTGTCACTGATGATGATCGTCGTTTGAACCTTTCTGGATCCGCCATCAAATTGATAAGTTTAATTATATCAAGTGCTGTGAGAAAAGGCTATAAATCTCTACCTCCAACATCCTCACACGCAATATAGCTTATACTAGCCGAGACTCCTTCTTTATGTGTACAGATGTGACGTAATGACGCAAAGACATGCTCGAATCTCCCGCGGAAATCCACCAGTACCACTAAAATTAAAAACATTATTACAAGCTTACCGTTTTGCATCGAGCTAAGGCAAGCAGATAGTTTTGAACACTGGCTGGTTATGTATTTTATCAAATATGTATTTTGGATAATTTTTAACCCAAAAAAAGCTACGGACAGCAGCTTTAAAATGCCCAACTTTACAGCAGGAAAAAAATATGTTTACAGCCTGGTACAAACATTGGTTTTGGTCTATATAGCTAATTTAGCCCTTTATGACAACTATGAGGGGGGTGGATTTTTTTATAACTCATCCGTTTAAATTATATTAAGCCTTAAAGTTCTGTATAATTAAGGACCACTTGAGTGACAGGTAGATTGCCACTGCTATCACTTCTAGCAGTTTGTCTGTTGTTAGCCGTCATGTCACCTCAGCTAATTCCAACTGCTGAACTTGCCATCTCTGCCATGTTTGTGCTTTTTTCGGGATTATTTCATACAATTTAATACACGCATACCTTCGCCGTTAGATTCCGTTGTTGTTGAGTATCAAGAGAACAACCAGCGCTGTTTTTTCAGTTGTTTTCCTCTGTGAACATGCACTCATGGTAGTAGTGGGAAGTTCGGATCTTTGAATCTCGTTCATCAAAATGAACAAATCTTTTTTCGAGTCATTTCGTTTCGTTTCGAGTCATTTCAGCAGAATGTATTTAAAATGTTACATGTTAGCCAAATTCCCCAAACACATCAAATGTTGATCGCATTTAGAGTAAGAAAAAAAAAATGGCAATGCAAGGAAAAGGCCAAATTATGAGAAACAGAAATGATTAATTAACTTATCTTGGTCTTCAGGCTATGCAGTCTGTTAGTTTACCTCCCCTCCCGAAGCTGTTCGTTCATCCCGTGACATCCTCATAAACTGAGCTATGCAGTCTGTAGTACCGGATACAGAATTGATTAGTTAACGTTTCGAGTCATTCGTTCATCATATGACAGCCCCACATAGGCTGAGCTATGCATTCGGTCCCGGATACAGAATTGATTAGTTCATCTTTTGAGTCTTCGGGTTCGAGTCATTCGTTCATCACGTGACAAAAGAACGAAAGACTCAGAAGAATCAGACCTGAAGACTCAAGAGGTGAATCATTTCTCTTTCCGGTACTGACAGCATAGCCTCTATGGGATTGACAGGAAGAACGAAAGACTCGGCCCCGAACCCGAAGACTCAAGAGGTGAACTAATCATTTCTCTTTCCGGTACTGACAGCATAGCCTCTATGGAACTGACATGAAGAACGAAAGACTCGGACCCAAACCCGAAGACTCAAGAGATGAACTAATCATTTCTGTTTCCAGTACAGAACCCATAGGATGTTGCGCATGCGCGGTCAACACAAAATGAACGAATCACTCTCTGAGACAACTCGGTAGTCCCAAGTCATATTAAAGATTTATTCAAAATGAACGAATCATTCATGACCGAACCATAACAAACTCATGGATGTCTGACAATTTCGTTGCTTTTTGGAGTTTTCAGATTTAAAAACGTCTATAGTTATAGAGGCTACAGTCGTTCTGCGGTAGCTACCGTTGCTCTCACGGAACAGATAGACTATAAATGCTGGCTTGCTTACCGTCAGATGAAATCCTGCAGGTGTCAGTGTTTTCTCTGTCCATGCAATAAATGCATATCCTTGAATGAGCGCGGATTTCTAGCGCATTTACTTGAACTTCTTGGGTAATATCTATGGTTTGACCCATTTGAGAGGCGGCCAAATCTATGGGAATAAAGCTCTCTACGAACTTGACGAGCGATGCCGTGCTCTGTCCCTGTCCCAAATGGCACACTTCATATGCACTTTCGGTCTTGTGGACTTACAATGGCTGCCGCATGCGCGTGTCCGTTAAGTCCGTGAGACCGTAGGGTGTGCCATTTGTCATTTTAGGTCTCAGAAGTGCTCGCGTATGTGGTCGATTTGCGCCCTTGATGCGCTCTTTTGCCGAGCCCGCACTGATGCGAGCTCCGCAGCAGACTTCTTCCCGACAGTCAAAGCGGCGTTACGTCACAAAAGTGCAGACTCAGAGGAAGACCGTGAGTGCTTAGGGTGCCATTTGGGACAGGGACATAGCATTAGCTCCTAAGCCTGAGCAGATCACGTCGAGGTGCGGGCGTGGTTTCAGCATCCAGGCACTCAGCTCCACCCACATCCCGCCTCTTTGCCCATTTTCTGTAATCCGGTAGTGACTCGCTGCCAAGATGGCGACAGCCGGCTCCACCCACTTTAGGCTTCAAAATTGCTCTTCAGAAACCTACAGGTGACGTCACGGACACTACGTCCATATTTTTTAACAGTCTATGGGGGGAAGCCTCAGTGCTTCATGAGGCTTCATTTGCCCATCCCTACTCACAATCAATCAAAGTAGCGAGGAAACGAGAGAGCAAACTAATCTCTCCTACCATCCTTTGAACATCCATTCATCCATGAATCACGATCAAGGAAAGGAAGCGAGAGAGCAAACAAGCCTCACAACTTCCTTATATAGCGCTGGGGCTGATGGGACTTGTAGTGCCCCCAACCATGTCCCATTACACATGTTTTCACTGTTATACGGTAGGGGGTGCTATAATGCATCGTCTGAAATAGTGCAGAATCTCTGGATCCAAAAAAGAAAAAGAAAAGAAGCAGAAACAAGAAGCAGTGCTTGCACACATGTAATCTTACGTGATCATCAAACATTAAACAGCATATAAATCAAATCTGCCTAAAGTTACCTAATGAAATGTCAAACGCATGGAGATGTTTATGACTGTGCAAGCTTTGGGGGCATCGGTGGACTTTATCTACTCTGCCTATACTTTTATCATCATTCTGAGTCAATTCAGACAGTCTTTGACATCTTTTTTTAAATGTTGCTTTTTTTTTTATGAAACATAGACACATTAAGTGTTGATAAAAAAAATAATGCATCAAGCTAGAGGTTTTTTTGTTTGTTTGTTTTTTGTTTTTTAAGCAGAGGCTCTGTTCTTTCTTTTGGGAGATTGTATGCTCAGAAATGATTCATACCAAAAAAAGTATAATATTCTGGGGGCCATGAAGGTTTTGTGAAATTTATCAAAAATGCCCTAATCACATCATGCAGTTTGAGTGTCTGAAAACTTTATATAAAAAATAAAACACCGGCGGGGAAAGAGTTAATGAAAATATTTTTTTTATTGACGACAATGGTCTGTTTATGATTTATTTTCTCGGAAGAGAAAGACTGTACATTTGAAATATGTACTGTATCGTCAGAAAGTTTATTTAGTCAACATTGAGGAGAACACTAACTAACAGAGCTGACAGACATTTACTGAAAGCCACAAAACTATTTTATGTGGACATGAGGAGGGAGTTGGACGTCTTTATCAAGTCCCACTGAGAAAACAAAAACTTTTGCATTGCACATCATTTATTTGTGGGTGCTAATGGAAATCGGAGTGTGTGGTCTGATAGCTGCTACTGGACACATCTGTATTCAACATTGTTGATGATGTGAACCTGATATCAGAGTGGCTCAGTGTAATGAGAAACTCCAGTTATTGATCACATACCCACTCAAACTGCATGATGTGATTATGGTTTCCCCATCAGGATGGCTGTTGGTGGTTGTTAGACATTATTTGTCTTGACAAGATAAAATAAGATTGGACCTGGAGCTGATACAGTTTCACTTCCGGTACAAAAAAAAAATCATGTTGCAATACTAGTATTGGCTCCTGTGCAGGAACTGTAGTTTATATACATCAAAGACCAAGATTTGTTTTGTGGTTTAGTTAATTAACTGTCTGTCGATAATAAATTTCCTTTTTTCCCTCTCCACAGGGGTAACAGAGGGGTAACGGAGTTCATATTCCCATAGCAACGTGTCAACTTCTGATAATGAGTCTCCTGACACAACTCAGATTGTTACTGTGGAAGAACTTTACTCTACGGAGAAGACAGAAGGTACACACGCATAAACACTATATTTTGGGAGCACAGCCGCATGAAACCGGTTTGGACACAACGGCCATTATGACATTTGCTTTTCTATGCATTAATATCAGTCATATATACATACAGTGCTTAGCATAAGTAAACACACCCATGCTAAAGTTGACTAAAAAGAGGAATACAAAATCATCTTTTGGAAATTGATCTTAATGCCTTAATTAAAAAAAAAATCCAACCTTTAAGGACACCAATTTTCTTTGTGAATGATTAATGTAGGCCTATCGTCCCTCATTTTTTTAATTAAGGCATTATGATCAATTTCCAAAAGATGATTTTGTATTCCTCTTTTTAGTCAACTTTAGCATGGGTGTGTTCACTTATGCTAAGCACTGTATATACACATATACATATTTATATTAACTTTCATTTGCTGATTTTATTATTATGTAATATAATACAGATACACTTAAATTAAATTCAATTTAAATGTAAATTCAGTCTAATGGCATGGTTTCCCAGTAAAAACAATAAAATAAATATATATTTTTACATACTTTCTTCCAAATTTTGGGCCCCTCCGAAGCTTTGGTATAATTCAAACACTTTTTAGAAAATAACTCTTGAAATGGGTTATGTTTATATTGCTTTTTTTAATTATCACAGTTTTAAAAAAGTAATTAATATTTTTATAATGAATTTCCCTAAGATTGAAAGGGTGTGGGACAAGGGTTAAACGAATACATATCTAAAAGGTAGGCTATTTGAAAAGTAACCAAAATAAAATGATGAAGGCATGGTAAAAAGTTTCCAACGCAGTTTTAATGTGACCTTCATATGACAACGACAGCAACAACAACAACAAAAAAAGCCAGATAAAAAAAAAAAAAAAAAGTTGAAATCTGTTCAATCAAGCCAAGGGACATAAAAGTCCCCATTAAAGAAACACCCAAATAAACAGTGTGATCTGTTGTTTTTGGAGAAAGAGGGGGCTCTTCCTGACCTGGAACAGGTGTGCGTAAGAACGAGCAGATTTCATTGGTCTTTAGAGAGTGAAAAACAGTCTCACCTTCACAACGGCTGCTAGACACACGCTTGGGATTATTCATCACCTGGAACATATCAGAGCTCCTCTGGAGATTATTCATCACCTGTCACATCTCAGAGCTCCTCTGGAGAAAATGATTGATGAGGAATGTCACTTCCTCAAAGACAGGAAACTCACAAGACGAGAGAGAGTGAGACCACACACTGATGATTATCGTGTGTGTTTAATTCATCTGCTATGATAATGCCAGCAATGAACATGCCTGGGGTGGGCAGCGTAAAACTAGTGGTGTATAGTGAAGTTATTTATTAGATAGCGATGGTCAAGCATAGCATATAATGCACAAAATAATGTTACAATTACATGATCGATCAGAAATTAAAATCTGTGGATACTCGTCAGATAAAGTTATAATTGCGAGATACAAACTCACAATTGGGTGTTATAAAGTCTGAATTTTGAGATATAAACTCCCAATTGCGTGTTATAACGTCAGAATTGTGAGATATAAACACTTATATACTTTTTAACCACAAATGCTTGTCTTGCACTCGCTCTTTTCACATTTCGTAATCACTTTGAAAGGTCACGCGTGTTCCGGTTCAAAAATGTAGGGTAGGGTGAAAAACTCCATCTCATTTTCTCCTTCAACTTCAAAATCGTCCGATATCGTTGTTTTACCTTTTATTTATTATTTTTTGTAAGTGGCATTTGACTTAGTCTTTGCACGTTCGCTAACACTAGGTCGGTACTTCCACCTATGTCACGCGTGACCTTTCAACATGTTTACGCAATGTGTGACACATCACAGCTAGTGCAATACGAGCATTTGTGGTTAAAAAGTATATAAATGTTTTTTTGGGTTTTTTTTTAGAAAATAAACGATCGTTTCGCTAGATAAGACTCTTATTCCTCGGCTGGGATCAGCCCTTTGAAGCTGCATTGAAAATGTTGTTCCCCATTGAAGTCCACTATATGGAGACAAATACTGGAATGTTTTCCTCAAAAACCTTAATTTCTTTTCGACTGAAGAAAGAGAGACATGAACATCTTGGATGACGTGGTGGGTGAGTAAATTATCAGAACATTTTCATTCTGAAGTGAACTAATCCTTTAAAGAGAGTACACTCTTATGACTGTTTCTTGACACACTTAAGTCCTTATCTGCCAATACTTCTGTTGTCTTTGAAATATGGTATATATAGGACAGACATTGGGAGAGTGTGCATCACTGGATTGGCCATTTTGAGAGAGCATGTGATTGGAATCGCTGATTTCTGAGCAGAGTATACTTAGACTGACTGACTCTGTACAGAACGTTGGTTACTTAAGTGGCCTCACTCATGTCAAGAGCCGGCGCTCAGTGAGCTGCTCCGGGTGGGCGGAGACTTGATTTGAAAACGGCCTCCGTTGGAGCACTTGTGCTGCTCTAATGGTCTCTCTGATGATCTGCAATTACAAGAGAGAGACAGACATATAGAGAGACATCTATGTGCATCAAAGAGCAGCCTGTCGAAAACAAAGCAATTAATGTGTCGAAAAAGCAGAAATATGAACGAGTTAGATAAAAGAGATCACTGAGGTTTATGTCTTATTAAGTTTAGCATGTAAACTAGTGAGCTTACAGGCATAGTTCACCGAGAAATAAGAAAAATCTGTCATCAATTACTCACCCTCAAGTTGTTCTAAATCTGCATGAGTTTCTTTCTTCTGTTGAACACAAAAGAAGATACTTTGATGAATGTTGGTAACCAAACAGTTTCTGGCCCCAATTGACTTCTAAAGGAAATGGGGTGTGAAGAGACAGTTAGCTCACAAGACGAGAAGAGACACGAGACTGAGTTCACGAGAATGAGACGAGACAAGATTTTTACACAGTATTCTTAAGAAATCCTCAATGACGAAATACATGACTAGAAAAATAGTCTGCAGGTGCATTTGAAATGTTTTAACTAATCATCTACTTTTTGAATTATCATATCCAGTAGAAAGAGCTATGGTTACAACTACACAGCCCAGCCTAAGATAGATTTCAATTTGGGAGATATTCGAATGCACCAGGGAGCCGCTTTCAAAATGGTATTGAAATCGCGTTTTACTTTCACGATCGCGCGGAATCTGTGAATAGGGAGAGGCGGTGCTGAGCACGCATTCTAGATAAGACATTTGTCCGACGCTTAGGCTCTGTTGTGCAAAGAATCATCTGCCATGGTCTTGTCAGTCATCTCGTCACTTGATCAGCGAACTCTGATTCCTTCTTCACTACCTCTGACTGCAGCTTGTGTTGGATGACCTCGATGAAATTGAAGTGACTGTTATCCAACTGAATTAAATGTTTTTTATTTCTACTAAAAGCAAAATGGCAGTGGAGGTGTAATTTAAACGTAGCGGTGGCATATTCTATCCTAGCTTCACCCTCACACTCCATCATGGCAATATCACAAGACCGTGTTTCACCTCGACGAGAAATCTCTTCATATTTTAATCTCTTCACACCCCTAATAGTAAATGATGACATCATTTTCATTTTTGGGGCAACTATCCCTTTAACCAATTCCCCAGACCCGTGTCATTAACTCTTCACCTGTCATTATGCTCACCTGTCTAATGCGTTTCTAATGAGACATGTTCAAACTAATGGAGCCTGATGACTGCAGGTGAAGAGGAAAACAGAGACAATAGCCATGTAAATCTGGATAGTTCACTCAAAACTGAAAATGCGTTCATTAATTTTTCACCCTCATGCCATTAAACGAACTAATATAAATGATTGCATGAAACATAACAGATGAATTTTCTAAGAAGCACAGACACAGTTTGTATGTAAATAACCCTGTAAGTGCAGCTGCTTTGATTACATTTTCATTGTGTCTTGGATGGCATTGACATTTAGCCTTTTCATAATCGGATAGCTATTCAATCAAGTCTTTCTGTTCAGTTGTGGGCTGCATGCAAACATACTCCAACACATATGCAAACAAATGACTGGTGCTTTTAATGAATCATTCAAATAGACTTAACTACCAGTTTGAATTAATCTGATGAATACTTCATGGAACGACTTACTGAATCTGTCAAAGGGGTTGTAATAAATTTATTTGAAATGTAATAATAAAACAAAAAAACACGCGTACCAAAAAAAATTTGGAGGGTCAGTCAGGATACATTTTGTTTTTGAAAATTGAAGTAATGATGCTGAAAATTCAGCTTTGCATCACAGAAATAAATTACATTTTACAATATATTCACATAGAAAACAATTCATATTTTGAATTGTAATAATATTAACACATAAATATATTGTGATAATATAAACACAATATAATTATTTTACTCTATTTTTGATCAAATAAATGCAGTGAGACTTCTTGTTCATGCTCAATAGCTTTGTTGTTGCACTGCTCACTTTTAAAGAAAGTAAATCACCACTTTTTGCAACCTCAATACACACGTCAGATTTTCAGTGTCAAAAACAAAGCTGTCATTTAAAGAGCCGCTGCCGATGTAGAACCTTTCAAATCAGATGCTGCTTTAGGCAACTGTATAGTAGACAGCAGTGCAGTTCACTCAGTTTAGGAACAGAGATTACATCTGTATGTCTGTGTTGTGCTACTGTTTACAGCAGTGAACACATTTTGTTCAAACAGTCTTCCATTGTGCAGTTTCTGGCAAAAACAGAGATCTTACAGATTATTTAGTTGAGAATCTTGTCATGTTGCCAAACTCTGTTTCTGGGTCTCGTTCAAGTTGACTCACACAGTTGACTGGCAGACAGTGCAAATCGCTGCGTACAGTAACTTCAGACTTCATCTGATCCTGAGCCAAACTTCCCAACATCAAAGTCTTGATGGAAAATAAATGTTCAGAATTTGCATTTCCGAGCACATGAAGTCAGTTCAGCGGTAGAGAGCACTTTAATCAGAGCTGTGATATCGCTCTCCAATATTGTAATATAAATCCAAACTAA